CGAGATAAATTACAGCCATGCCTGAAGCGAGATTCGAAACCAGACTCTTTCAGGTACGAGGCCAATTAAATTACCACCATATAGTCGATTGATTTAATTCGTCGTTTTATTTTAGATCGTCTAGTCTTCATCTTAGTTTCGTCACTTCATTGCAGTATAAACTATCTCCCACAATGCACTACGATGATATTTCGAGTTAAGACAACATTTTCGGTATATATTTAAGAGTTCCCGCTTTGTCATTCACGTAGTTTCGTTACGAAATATATACAAATATTGCAGGCAAAAAAATACGAATATTGCGAAATATACGAAATACACGAATATACGAAATATACGAATATACGAAATATTGCAGACATAAAATCACGAGCCAAGTAATGAAAAAGGAAATTTCTTTACAGAACTGTTATAATTTAAAATATTGTTGCTTTTGTGTGTTATTCATAAAATATATTTCTGAAAAAAAAAAAAAAACATTCATAGCATTCCTTTTTCTATTAAGATATTTGTATTGTGCTGAAATAAAGATGCAATAATAGGTTTGTAAACTTAAATAGGATTGAGGTTTGATGTCCTATTCTTTTGATTAGTTTCCTTCAAGAAAACGAAAAACATAGTAAACAGACGTTGAATACCCCTGCGCAAATGAAACCGGAGTTTTCATTAAAATAATAATTATTGAGAAATAAATTGCTTTTAACATCAAAATTTCAGCAGAAATAAACAAAATGTTCGCATTTCAAAAGATTTAAAAAAAAATTCTTTTATTTTTTCTTCTTTCATTTGATTGAAAATTCCACTTCTTTATTCATTTTTTTTAAACTAAAAAGAAGTTTTTTTGATCATTGAAGAAATTTAAAGTATTTTAAAATTTTTCTAACAAAGAAATCTTTCTAATATTTTAAAATCAAATAATATCTTTATTATTATTTAACTTAAATGTTATTTTATTTGTTTTTCTCTTAAAAGAAAAAGATTTTACAGTCATAAAAAAGTTAAAATTGATGAATATTTAAAAAAAAAAAATAATTTGTGTATTCCTATTAAAAATATAAAAATAAAAATTTTTGTTTTAAAAATTGGAAGATTTCCCACAGAGTAATGTAAATGCGTTTAAAACAAATAAAATATATAACACCTTTTTCAATATTGAGAAATGAAATTTAAAAAGTATCATCAGCTATGATCGAAGCATAGTTCTCTAAATTCGTAACCAACAGCCATCAATTCTTAACCATGGTTAAGACTCAGCTGTCTTAACCATTTTGACACGTCTGCGCATTCACGTGTGCTTTTTCACCCAAGTCAAAATTTTCGATGGCTCCATCAAAAGATTTTGATGGTTTATGATGGTATCAGTTCGATGCTTGATGGTCCAACACCATATGATGATGATCATCATGCAACATTTTTCATCATATGTTCATGGGTTTTGATATGCCAAAAAACTTACATCATTCCATGATAGAAATGCTGTTTTAAAACTATGACGGTTAACCGTCAAGCCATTTTTGATTCTCATAGATCAACACCTTATTTTGGAGGATGTTTTACTGCTATGATGGTCTCCCATTATATTATGTTTGACACTGTTAGACCAATAATCCTTTCATGTTGGAAGATAAGGTTTTACTGATTTGATGGTCAACTAATAGCATGTGATAGACATTGTTGGTCAAACAATGTCCATCACTTAATGATGGTCATGTTGTTTCTCCGCTAATGTAACGATAAATTTCCAAGAAACTCCGATGGAAATTCTTGTTGGTAATGCAGAGACAAACCATTAGAACAACTTGCTTATGTTGGTTCATCATAAATTAGTCCGAATTCCTATATTGTAGTGATGCTTATTCATGATTTTTCAAACAATTGATTTCCTGGGTAATGAGGAAAATTTTTGATTTTCTAACATAAATAAGTCAGGAAGAATAGCTGTTATTCTTATGTTGGATCATCTTAAAGTAGTCCGAATTCCTATATTGTTGTGATTGTCAGTCATGTTGGCTACCGTGAAAAAATAAAAGTGCTTCTCATTCAACTAGTTGATGATTGCCATCATGAATATATTGGACCATCAGTAGAAAACTATTGAAAATTTTGACTTGGATAATAACAATAATAAATCACTTAAAACTGTAAGGGGTCATATTTTGATTCCTGGGCTGTATTGGCAGCAAGTTTTCACCTTACCCCCATGTTTTAAACTAAGCTCATTATTTAAACTTCGCTTCGTTTCGATAGGAACTTTGCAGATTTATGTACTTCACTAGCAGGTAAATATTAGATATTTATTTCGAAATTATTATTGTCTGTTATATTTCTTTAGAATTTTATTTATTGTTGCGAAGGTTTTAATAAGTATTTTAAATTCCTTTAGGTCAAATCTCCCTCACAGTGGGTCAAAACAAACTCAAAGTGCGAAGCTCCATTCAATTTTTATAATTCGCAAAATGAAAAAGAATAACTTTAATTTTTTTGAAAGGGTATGCCTTTCAAAGTTATGTGAAAAATGTGGTACAAGTAACATAGGTAGAATGCTCTTGAAAGTTTGGTCCTTCATTGCTACTTTCATTTTCTGCTTATTTCACTATAGCTCAGAAATTTTTTACGCTATTCGAAAGATTTTGGCGCACACTTATACGTTACCCATGAAAAAAATAATTTTGATAGTTTATTTTTTATAATTTTTTTATTAAGGGTCGGAAAATTGTAAAAATTATGAGGCAAAGCAGTTTTTAAACCCTTTTAAACTACATACTCTTAAATGAAAAAAATACAAAATTTGTGCAAAATTGATCGAGTAGCTTCTAAGTTCAAAAATTTTTAAAAAAATCCTATTTTTAGAATTTATTGCTGAGATACTACTTAATCTTTCTCGTCAAATTTTATATATTTGTCATGTTGAATTACTTAGTTTAAGTGGATGTATAATGTTGTATACCTTCCTGTAAATTTGTACGATTATGTTCCTTAATTAATATTTAATACTCATTAATTGCTGATTTTAGGTTCTTCAATTGAGCCATTATGATTGGTACTTAATTACTGAAAATTCGATGATTAGAACCTAAGTTATTCAGGGTAAATCATGAATTAAAATTAATTGTTTATATTTGAAGTTGAAAAAAAAAGGATTATCTAAACAGTCGACATGCTTGAGATGTAATCTTATCTTGAAAAATTTGAGAGGTTAACAAAACATAAATTCATTAATTTATATTTTGTAAAAAGAGGGGTTCAGCCTCACCTATGTACCCTACATTTAAAAGGAAGCATACTGACCACCCAATACGGCTAACAATAAGTAAAATACTTAAATAATTATGTATTATCATCAGTGTTATAATTATTGTTCTGATGCTGTATCAAGTGCTCGTTTTATTATATTTCATTACTATTATTTATTACATTTAACAACGAGTTTCTATTCCAAAAAATAATCCTATTCGTAAATTTTGCAGGTGTACTAGTATACAATAGTAGAATTAAGTAAATAAAATCGTAAGAGATACTTTAAAACCCTAACAGAAACAAATATAGTTATCGCTTTTTGAAATAAGGTACTTTTAAGAAGGTTATTTATTCTGTTGTTATTTTATTTATATTGTAAAGCATGCTTTATCAAAAACTTTGAAATCACCAGAATATTTCGAAAAACACTCTTTATTAAAGGGAAAATTTTATTTTCAAGAGTAAAAAACATATAATTTAACTCAAATTTTGCATTGTATAGTGTAAGGTTTTGAAAAATATAAAAAAAGAAACAACCGTCATATAAAATCTATGATGCTGTAAAATATTAAGTATCGGCACAAAGCAAATTGCAAAATATCGAATACTTTTAACTTTTAATAATAATATAGCTAGCTTTAGGAATAAAAAAAAAACTAAAGCGTTATTCAGATGAATAGTTTTACATGAGGTAAAACTCAATAATCCAACAAATCGTTTTTGATCATCCTGAAGCTCTCTTTCCTGAAGCATAATAAGTTAGCATTTCACTGCTTATAGCCCGAATAATCCTGTCATTTAATAATCACGCACTTTGTTTTTCAATCAATTTATGCGAAATAATATCGATAAAAAGAAGGATAAAGCAAAAAAATAATATAATAATTTTATTTAATGGTATATAATACCTTAAACTATTTCAAGTACGATTAACGTGAGTAGATATAAACTAGTAAGAGCTTAACTATTAAGAAAAAACATCATACCTAGGTACTAAAATTTTGTTTGTGTAGTTACTAAACTTTATTTGTACAATCAGAAAGCAAAATACATGAATAACAAAATATTACTAGAACATTGCTAAACAAAAAAATGGATATTTCCTTTCATTCAATTTGCTTTATATGCAAATAAAAGGATGTAACGCCAGTATAAACCTATATTCGAATATTTTATGATGAACAAATCATTCATTAAAGGTCTGAAACAACAGTAAAAACTCATCGTTCAATTTTGCATTCCTCAATTTCCTGTTTATTCATTCCGTTTCTTAAATATCAGGGACTTTTACTATTCAGATTTTAATCTGGTAAATTTCGTGAACTAACTTGCATTCAAACAATTTCAGTATTTAATATAATCCTGGGAATTAATACTGGTTATTATCTAGACTGAAAGTTTCCAAAATAATTAGCATTTAATAATTCATTAAAAATAATAATTTATACTTTAAAAAAGAATGAAGATGAAGATTTTCTATGAAGATTAACCAATTTTTTCGTCAATGTTGATTCTTTTCTCTCTGTATGCTTTTAAGAACTGAAATGACTTCAAACCTGAGAATCAACACAAGAGTTTATATACAGAAGTAAATTATTTACACTCATTCCAGAAAAATATTTCCATGAAGAATATATTCATCTTATGACGAGCTGCAAAACGTTTATGACCGACGCAGCATCTCAATACTCTGTTATTCTTCAAAAACTTATTTAGCCCAACGAACTTGATCTGAAATTAAACCTAATAGGATTTTGTTAAAGATGGTGGCATATTTTCCCTCGAAACTTAGACTAGCAGTTCTACCCGAGACCAAAGCCATAGAAGTTACAAGAAACGACAACACTACCATTATTTCGGGAGTTGAAGCAGAATTTATAAAACTATTGGCGCGCGCATTAAATTTCGATTATGAGATTATTATTCCCGCAGATTTTTACGGGGAAATGGATGCATCTGGAAACTACACTGGAATGGCTGGAATGTTGCAAAGGAATGAAGTTGATATGGGATTCACCTATCTGGGTATTACCGAAGAATTATCAAAAGTTGTAGACTTCAGCGTACCTTACTATAATCCTGAAAAAACCTTTCTGGTGAATTATGCTTCATTCTTGCCAAAAACATCAGCATTCATGTATCCTTTCAGCTCACTCACATGGATTTTATTCTTCATCGTACTACTCCTTGTGTCAGTGCTTTTTCGAACTTTGATTTCGCCAAAAGATTCCATTATTTCCGTTTTTGTCAATTTGTTGGGATCTTCTTTCGGGCAAGGAATGAACTACAACCCTCACTCAATGTCCAGGCGGATACCACTTGGAATTTGGCTCCTTTATTCATACGTGCTAATTTTATGTTACAGCTCAGTCCTGTTATCAGTTTTGACATCTCCCATCAGAATGAAACAAATAAAAGATTTCAAGGATCTCTACCTCGCAGTCAGAGAGGGGAAAATGGAGTGTCTAGCAGCGGGGCCAACTGATGAAGCAGATATTTTGATGAAAAGCATTGTACCGCATTTAAGAGGATTAGGAGAATACATTAAAAAGAATAATTGGTATTATCATTCCTTTAACAACGAAAAAGTTCCAGAACATGTAGCAATGCTTGGTTCACCTGATCTATTTCGTGTGGCTATTGGACCACCTGAAAAGTACTTTTATTCAAAGGACGCTTTTGAAAATTTTCATTACGGGGTTGCAATCAGGAAAACATTTTGCTGCAAAGAGCGCTTCAATTCAATCGTACTACGAATTTTAAGTGGTGGCTTATATAATAAATTCAAAGAAGATGTCCTCTTTAAAATGGATTTAATAAGAAATTTAAATATGGGTCATTCTCAGAGTACATTAGAATCACCTTTAGGGCTATCAAATTTAAATGGAGTGTTTATTATTCTTGGTATAGGCTGGACGGCAGGTATTATTGCTTTATTGATGGAAATCTGCTACTGTAGATGGTTACGACCAAAACATCGCCAAACCTGATATGCAAATGGCTTTTTGCTTATACAGCTTTTTGCTTATATCAGCTGCATTTTGCACAGCACTTTCACCTTTTTTCAAGCACATTATTATAATAAGATTTGAAATTAGTTGCGTTGGTAAATCAATGTATAACTCCATGACCTACTTTCCTTGTTAAATCTTGTACAACTGAAATGATGCACATTATACTCAAAACACTTTTATTTTACATCGAAATCTACTGTCGTTGATTTGTAAGAAAAAGCAAATAAACTAAGTTTTCAGATTTTGCTAGTGGATAACTTAAGATGTTTTTTTAACGCGATAATCCATACCGAAAAATCAAATCCCTTTGAATCTGAGTTAAACTTCTATTTATGTCAATCTGTTTCATAAATTTTTATTGTAATCTTTGAACATACGCTGGATGTTCAAAATTCTTTGTATCTATAACGCAGAACAAAAGTAAAATACAGATTGTTAAATACATCATGCATAAATGTTAAGCAATATATTTGGTTATGCTCTTCTTGTTGCTTTGCTAGCTAACTATTGTTTGAAGTTTGGAATGAAACTTTCTTAAAACTCTGAGTAGCTGTCTGAAACTTATATTCTTCGTTTGCAGTTTTAAATCGAACCGTGTAGTAGTAAGTAGGATATATGATAACGTATGAACTCCTACAACTGAACAAGTCCAATTTCAGATCATTTAAACTGTACTCCACTCAAATTGGCGAAAAATAGCTCAGAGTGCTGACTTGCACCCAGTAAAAAATTTCTCTTCACGTTCGTGAGGATTATAAGAGGACAAAAATATTTGAGAACTCTGCTGAAAACGATTTGACTGTTCTGGATTCAATTAAACTGGCTCTTTGGAAGCAGAAAACCCTAATCTGTGCTTGAATCAATTGGGGAAAAAACGAAACTATTTCAGTGCATTCAAATCTTTATGATGACATTTATTTTCTTTATACCCAGGACGGAAAATGTGATAAAATACGTCAAGTGTTTTACCCTCTGTCGGATTAGACAAACAATGATCTAGTAATTATTGATAAGTAATGGAATTTGAAAGTTCCATCTGTTCCAGTCAAGGGCTTCAATCGAGCAAATTTCTACATTTATTTAACCAAAAAAAAAGAATGTTGTTTTATGCTTTTCAAAATGATGCAGACTGAACAAAAAACACTTAGAAGCTCGCTCTTGAATTTTATAACACGTAACATTATGTTCCATTAACAATTTAGCGGTTTAAAATGCTTTTACTAGGCTTGTAATAATTCCAAAATTTCATTTCATATTTCGCATTATTAAACAACTTTTTTAGGGTCAACAAGTTCTAGTTATTAACTCAATCATAAATACTCGATAGTTTTGAGATTGGTAAAGTTTAGGAAGCAGCTGAAACAAATTAGTTGAAAACGTGTCCTAAATCGTACCACTTGCAGTCATTCCGAAAAAAATAATTTTCCGTACTTACTGCTCAACCACTATAATTAAAGAAATAATACGAGTAGCTGTAATTTATTATTAAAATATAAATAGCTGTATTTTATAATGTATCATTGCTAATGATTTGTGAATGATAAACATTTATGGGTGAAAAAAGTACTATTTATACTACATTACTATGTAATAGGTATTATATTAGTATCTTTCAGTCTAATTTTCTTAGAACTATTTTTAGAATTTCGTATTCTTCTTAATGATATAACAATAGTAAGACTGAGTACTTCAAACATCATAAAATTAATAGGCCTCTAGAAAACAACCTATTCTAAAAGGAGTCCACGACACAAACATTTTGTAAATTTTTAGATAATATTTAAAATTATATTTAAAAAAAATGCAATAAGTCGTTATAGTAATGTTCTTCGTCCTTTCTTAAATGGTGAAAAAATTAAGTTCCTGTCTCAATCGGAAGTCAATATCAAATGTTTGTTCTTGTATTGCAGTTTTAAGGATGCTAAAACTTTCAATACTTTTAAATTTCACTTTTATCTCTTATCCTATTATTTATTTTTTATTTATTTATTTTATCTTTAGAACGACTCAGTTATCAATAGATAAAAATCCTAATTTTGAGAAATTCCGCTTTTTTAATAGATTATTAGATTATTAAATGTGTATGTCATGTTATTTGATGCTTTAATTTACTACCCTGCTACGAGAATTGCTTATGATATAATCCTTTTTGACGATTTGTTGATGTTTCAATGTATTAACCCGCTACGGGAATTGGTAATTATGCAAGCCTTTTCCATGTTTAATATAATCTAACCCTCTCAGGGGATTAAAAATGATCTAAGCCTTTTTGATGTTGCATTGATATTTTTATGTACTAACCCACTACTGGAATTTAAAATAATATAAGCCATTTTATGTTTTATTGATGTTTTGATACAGGGATTAGAAATAATGCATGCTTATTAGATGTATTTTTGATGTCTTAATGTTCTAATCCGCTACAGGAATTGGAAATGATAAAAATCTTTTTGATGTTTAATTGTTGCTTTAATGCACTGACTCGCTACGGTAATTTAAAATGATGAAAGCCTTTTTAATGTTGAATTGATGTTTTTATGTGCATCCCACTACGGGAATTGGAAATGATATAAACCTTCTGATATTGTAATAATGTTTCAATGTATTAACCCGCTACGGGAATTGGTAATTATGCAAGCCTTTTCCATGTTTAGTGTATTAACCCGCTACTGGAATTTGCAAGGATATAAGCCTTTCTGATGTTTAATTCATTTTTAATGTACTAACCCCTCTACGGGAATTAACAATAATCAAAGAATTTTTGATGCTGTATTGATGCTTTAATGTATTAACGCGTTACAGGAATTGAAAATAAGCATTTTTGATGTTGTATTGAAATTTTAATAATCTAACCCTCTCAGGGGATTAAAAATGATCTAAGCCTTTTTGATGTTGCATTGATATTTTTATGTACTAACCCACTACTGGAATTTAAAATAATATAAGCCATTTTATGTTTTATTGATGTTTTGATACAGGGATTAGAAATAATGCATGCTTATTAGATGTATTTTTGATGTCTTAATGTTCTAATCCGCTACAGGAATTGGAAATGATAAAAATCTTTTTGATGTTTAATTGTTGCTTTAATGCACTGACTCGCTACGGTAATTTAAAATGATGAAAGCCTTTTTAATGTTGAATTGATGTTTTTATGTGCATCCCACTACGGGAATTGGAAATGATATAAACCTTCTGATATTGTAATAATGTTTCAATGTATTAACCCGCTACGGGAATTGGTAATTATGCAAGCCTTTTCCATGTTTAGTGTATTAACCCGCTACTGGAATTTGCAAGGATATAAGCCTTTCTGATGTTTAATTCATTTTTAATGTACTAACCCCTCTACGGGAATTAACAATAATCAAAGAATTTTTGATGCTGTATTGATGCTTTAATGTATTAACGCGTTACAGGAATTGAAAATAAGCATTTTTGATGTTGTATTGAAATTTTAATAATCTAACCCTCTCAGGGGATTAAAAATGATCTAAGCCTTTTTGATGTTGCATTGATATTTTTATGTACTAACCCACTACTGGAATTTAAAATAATATAAGCCATTTTATGTTTTATTGATGTTTTGATACAGGGATTAGAAATAATGCATGCTTATTAGATGTATTTTTGATGTCTTAATGTTCTAATCCGCTACAGGAATTGGAAATGATAAAAATCTTTTTGATGTTTAATTGTTGCTTTAATGCACTGACTCGCTACGGTAATTTAAAATGATGAAAGCCTTTTTAATGTTGAATTGATGTTTTTATGTGCATCCCACTACGGGAATTGGAAATGATATAAACCTTCTGATATTGTAATAATGTTTCAATGTATTAACCCGCTACGGGAATTGGTAATTATGCAAGCCTTTTCCATGTTTAGTGTATTAACCCGCTACTGGAATTTGCAAGGATATAAGCCTTTCTGATGTTTAATTCATTTTTAATGTACTAACCCCTCTACGGGAATTAACAATAATCAAAGAATTTTTGATGCTGTATTGATGCTTTAATGTATTAACGCGTTACAGGAATTGAAAATAAGCATTTTTGATGTTGTATTGAAATTTTAATAATCTAACCCTCTCAGGGGATTAAAAATGATCTAAGCCTTTTTGATGTTGCATTGATATTTTTATGTACTAACCCACTACTGGAATTTAAAATAATATAAGCCATTTTATGTTTTATTGATGTTTTGATACAGGGATTAGAAATAATGCATGCTTATTAGATGTATTTTTGATGTCTTAATGTTCTAATCCGCTACAGGAATTGGAAATGATAAAAATCTTTTTGATGTTTAATTGTTGCTTTAATGCACTGACTCGCTACGGTAATTTAAAATGATGAAAGCCTTTTTAATGTTGAATTGATGTTTTTATGTGCATCCCACTACGGGAATTGGAAATGATATAAACCTTCTGATATTGTAATAATGTTTCAATGTATTAACCCGCTACGGGAATTGGTAATTATGCAAGCCTTTTCCATGTTTAGTGTATTAACCCGCTACTGGAATTTGCAAGGATATAAGCCTTTCTGATGTTTAATTCATTTTTAATGTACTAACCCCTCTACGGGAATTAACAATAATCAAAGAATTTTTGATGCTGTATTGATGCTTTAATGTATTAACGCGTTACAGGAATTGAAAATAAGCATTTTTGATGTTGTATTGAAATTTTAATAATCTAACCCTCTCAGGGGATTAAAAATGATCTAAGCCTTTTTGATGTTGCATTGATATTTTTATGTACTAACCCACTACTGGAATTTAAAATAATATAAGCCATTTTATGTTTTATTGATGTTTTGATACAGGGATTAGAAATAATGCATGCTTATTAGATGTATTTTTGATGTCTTAATGTTCTAATCCGCTACAGGAATTGGAAATGATAAAAATCTTTTTGATGTTTAATTGTTGCTTTAATGCACTGACTCGCTACGGTAATTTAAAATGATGAA